TAATCATACTGTCATTTGCTTTATTTATAGAAACAAAATCAAATGGTGAATACTAAAATTAAATTAAATACTAACTAAAAATAACTACTCAAAAAAATGAGGAGAGAAATATGATAGAGACTCGATTTCACCTATTAGACCCGTAGGGAATGAACCCTTTATTCAGGTAGTGTAACTATTGGGAATCGTTTGATTTTTAATAGGAATTAAAACATAAGCATTAAATAGAAAAGCTTTGTAGAAATCGTCGATTATGGTTCTCGATCTTAACAATGAAGCTTTTCCACAAAATCTTTCGTGTTATGACTCTAATACCAGTAAATTAGCTTGGGGGAACCTTTTAGAATATTAGGAGAATTCTAACCGAGATTGGGCCAAAACTTGCTCTTTGGCTCAATACTAGAGTCCTATTTACAAGGACTTTGTAAGAATATTTTGCCAAATATATATTCCAATATCTATTTATTACCAAACAATATTTTATTTAAATCATATTTAAATATCATATTCTATTTCAACAGAAGTGGAATCTCATTCCATTTTGAGATACATACACTAATATATTTTTAATATTTAATGTATCAAATATAATAAATATACTTTTTTTAATTTGAACTTTTAAATTAAATCTATTTTTCTCCTTTTTTCTAATTTGAACTTTCAAATTAAATATATTTTTCTCCTTTAATATTTAATATATCAAGTATATTAATTTGAACATTTCAAATTTATTCTTTCAACTGAATTTACTTTTTGGTGTTATTATGAGTTAGCATGGAGACCTTATGGACCTACCGGTTATAAGCTCCAATGACATCAAATCAATTAACTAAACTCTTTAATTAATTAATTTTCATTCATTAACTATAGGTCACTCCACTATAGTCTTATAGTTGAACTCTTATGCACTGTAGGACAAGTTATGTCCATGGGTTATCATTAAAGACAAGTCGATCCTTCACGAGTTATTCGTAACTACAGTTGGGTCAAAAGTTCATTTTACCCCCGTAATTACATCTTGTACCTTAAGTACCACTGATTCTCTAATAAACAATTTGTTTATGATCCAATCATAAGCTGAGTCCCTCTCGGGCCAGTGAGAGGGTGGGGCCCCATTGTTCAAGTCCCGAAGTCAGCACTTAAGAGAATTACTCATCTACTTACCCTATATGGGAAGGAGTGAATTCCATCTTGTGAAGTTATGCTCCCAGTTCCCTATTTGTTCAAGTCCTCAAAATAGTAGGCATATTGAATCGGCTACAAAAGTCATTCTCACCCATGCAAATCAAAAAACAAGTCTTCATAGACAGGAGTTCATAACTCATTCATGATTAAGATTGAGTTGCACATGATCATCCTATGAAATATTAATCTTCTTAATTTACGGATTTATAAATAGATATTAAATATTTCGTGGTCCAGTCTTATACAAACTCATTGTATAGGATACCTCCACTCACATGTCTCCACATGAATGATTTGGATCAAAATCATTTGTAATAATTACAAAGTGGACCGTATCAATAGTGTTACCAAGATAAGGCACCCAACCTTATCCATATACTATAAACTTTTTTGGTTATTACTTGAACATGATCCTCGTGTATGTCACATACTGTTCAAGTTTACCATAATAACCTTGGATCTTATATGATTATTGGATAATGTTTCACACAATAAAAAATTACTTAATTCATGAATGAGAAAATGTTAAGTTACAAAAAAAACTACCAGTAGGGCACAAATCCCAACAAGACCAATTATTCGATTATCAAACAACCAAGATTTATCATGAAAATATTCTATAAGTTAAGAATACAGGGATAATAACGAACTCTTATGAGAACAATTAACTCTTACCAAACAATTGTATTTAGTACTTAATAACAAGTAAGGGATTAAGACATTCTATTAGTAAGTTAGAACCACCCTTAATTATATAATTAAGTTTTAGTTGAAATCAATCTTAGTCTAAATTTAGACCACGAAAACATGATCAACAGATTAGAAGTATTAAGCATATAAAAACATGAATGAAAATAAACCATTCAATGAAGGAATTAAATTACTTAAATACTAAGGATTTAATGGATACATCCATTTCGAACTTAAAACATTCTAGCCATTCAGGTTGGCTATTATAAATACTCAATTAAATAACGTCGGAAACAAAAACTACAATATTTTAAAAAAAGAAAGAGTAAAACTAATATGTTATGTCAATCTTGGTAATGTAATCTCATACTTATGATCTTCAAAATTTCTCATAGATGGTGTTTAGTTTTCTAATTATATAGAAATCAGAATTAGAGGTGTGTCTCTCAATTCCTCCTTCCTAATGTGGAAAGTTTATGTAAATGGAGGCCTGGTCGAAACGTGTAAGGTAGAGCCTCAATGATATCCCAAACATGAAAAGAAATCAAAATGCTACAAACAAAAATAGGAGGATTAAGACGTCAACATATTTGTAGAATCGAGGTTTGCATTGCAACACTCCATGAGATCGAGCATGACATAAGCTCCATTTATTGGTGTTTGGATACTGGGACAAAATGGCTTGCTAGATTGAAAATGATAGGTAGTTTAAAACATAGATGTGAAAATGGAAGGAAAATGATAGATTGAATTTTTATTTGAAACTGTTGATGAGCGAATATGGGAAGGGAGTGAAGAGGGGTTGAAATACGGGGATCCGCACGTGCGAAAACATTAACGCAGAAGAGAGAGAAAAAGAGATTGTGGAAGCAATGATTACAAGAGAGAGAGAGAGAGGGGCACGCCGCACGCTGAGCCAAAAGAGTTCAGAGATACCACAGAGGTTTTATTCCCACAAAAAAACTTAAAACACCATCTCCCGACATTTCCTTCCCATCACCCATGCATCTGTCTCCTCTTTTTCTATTTCTTTTATTTTTCCCTCTTGACAAAAGTTCGCTTTTTTTTTTTTTTTTTTTTTTTCTTTTTTTGTTTTGTAAGGAGGTGCGTTTAAAAGGCTTCCCACTTTAAAAATGATATATTTTTACTTTTTAAACATATTTTATACATCTTTTAATTTTTTATTTCACATTTCTTTACTACATCTATAGGTGTATTTTTCTTTTATAAAATTTAAAAAGAGTGGAATATATTAAATAGAATATAAAAAAAGTTAAAAACTTTTGGGAAGAGAGAGAGAGAGATTAGGGTGGATGTACCCCACAGGCTCCTTCACGCCAAAGGCTTTCTATCACTTAGATCTCTGTTTGTAATGTTGTGTTTGTCGTGTAATTGTCGCGCAATTTTATAAATATACGTGCCCCATCATTTGCTGCTTTTCGCCAGCATCTTCTTTTTGCACGCCTCCTCTCTCCTCCTCATCACCTAAAAACAAATTTTCCAAACCCTCTTCCTCTTTCATTACTTTTATTTTCCCTCCTTATCAACTTTTCTTTTTCTTCATTTTATCCACTATTTCTCTTATATATTCTATTATTTTTATCTAATTTTACTCTCATGGATTGTGTGTATGTTCAAGGTTGGGTGAGTTTTTACGGTTACAAATGGTATCATAGCCATACACTAAGCAGTGTGCCAGCAGGATGCTAGTCCTCAAAGAGGTGGATTGTCAGATCTCACATTAGTTGGAGAGGGGACAAAGCTTTCCTTATAAGATTGTGGAAACCTCTCCTCTCACAAACGTGTTTTAAAACCTTGAGAGAAGTCTAAAAGGGAAAGTCCAAAAATGACAATATCTATTACAAATTGTCTTGGCTAGGTCAACCACCTTAAATTGACCATATTTATATTGAACAAGCACTAAATTTGAAACTTATTTATCACTTACCACTTATTATTGTACTAACCAAAGTTTCTAAAACCAGACCCGACTTAGGTAAGTTAGAATAATCATGTTGATGCTATTTAAAATGAAATAACAAAAACGTGTATATGGTACACATATACACTTCAAAGTAAGAAATGCATTCAAATGTTTTTGTAAAAAAAAAGAATTCCTAAGATAATGCATCGAATTTTTCAAGGTAAACAAAAGTCTAGAGAAAATTCGATAATATCAATTTAAATGATGCAGAAGTACAAAATAAGTACACGAGGACAATTTTGAGTGGCAATTTGTGGTCCCTCCGGTTCACGACCCTTGCATATTTTTGCCCTTACCTTAAACATACATACATTGGACTTAATACGGTTCAACTTGTATGCACATATATAAGTAGTTGTCACAAATAAAAAATTACAATAAACATAGATAAATGAATTCCATAAAACCATATCAGGAATGGGTGATATAATTCCCATGCATACAAATGAGTAATTAACTCGAAGGCTATACTTATCTATACCAATAGATAATTACTGCATTTTCATGCACATTAATTGTCCTATGTTCTAATGTATGTTCTAATGTAATTCTAGTAATTGTGTTGGGATTCCATGCCTATAAAAAATCTTGCAATTATGATAATATCATTTACAAGTATGCACAACAATAAACGATAGGACAGACAAATCAGTTCACACATATCTAATGGTATGAAAACCATGAAAACAATAATATCCAACAAGAAAATAATGTAAAGCAGGCTCATAAAATTTGAGGTTAAAATAGGAGAAACCATAATAAATGGAGATTAAAATGGAAATAGAAGGAAAATAAATGATGTATTGAGTAACTGACCATTGACTGAAGTGGCTGACTGAAACCAAACCGTGAGAGAGCATGTTTGAAGTTTTGTCAAAGCAAAAGAGAGGGAAATAAATAATCCGTAAATTAATAGTGTTGAAAAGAAAAGGAACAAAAATGATTTAGAATATATAGCATGTCTAATTATTAAAAGGAACACTTATTTAGTTACTCATTACGTACTTTATTTACTTATTCCAGAAAGAATTTTAAATTTTATTTATTTATTTATTTATTTAAAAATATTAGAATTGTTTGATGAAAGAGTAGAGTTTGAGTTATTTGGAGAGTGAGGTTTGTTTAAGAATGAGTGCCATCTCATCTCTCAATACGCAAACAAAACCCTTCTCTGCACTCTCTCTCTCACTCCCTGCCCTCATCAAAGTACCATATGCTTCAACAAAATATTCCCTTTTTTTCATTCTTCCCTCCCAAACTAAACAAAATATTCCCTTTAAATATAGTGGAGGTATTCTTAACAAAAAAAGAAAAAAAAAAAAAACTCAAACATACACACAAACAAACAGAAGAATTAGAGGAGAGGATGATTAGAAAGCCATAAAACCAAACCCAAAACAATCAAAAACAAAAAAGAAAAAAGAAAAAAAAAGGATTATTCATTTGTGGGCAATTACAAGACGCCTCCTCTTGGATCTATCGCTGCAATTGGACCGCTCAAGAAGAGATTTCAATGCGTTTTGAAGGAAGTGGAGGGACTCAAGGCTGTGGTGGTGGTTGGCGGCGATAAGAAGAACATTGCGAATTCTGCCGCCCACAGTGACGATGTCGGCCCTCACAGTCTTCAGCTGTAGCGAATTCAGGATGTCGTTCAGCTCCGGGATGAGGTCCGACCTGTCCTCGCAGCAAAGAGAGGCCTTGAAGAGGAGCCGTCCGTCGTCCGATTCCTCGCCGGAGAGCACGCTGATCTCGTCGCTCTCGGAAGGGAAGGTTTCCAGCTCCGCAATGTCTGCGGTCTGATGCTTCAGCTCTTTCACTCGCTCAACCACTTTTGCCAAAAGCGATGCCTTGTCGGTCTGATCAAATTTGTACCCATTATGCCATTGCTTGTGTCTCTCAATTCAACAACATTTTATTAGAAATTAATATTTATATTACCTTGGAATTACATGGAAGAAGAGTCCGAAGCTTATCAAGATGAGAGTTGATTCTCTCTCTTCTACGCTTCTCAGCTTCCTTGTGATTCTTCAACGCCGCCAGGGCTCTGTCATGGGGCGACGGAAGCGTTGTCTCGGTGGCTGCCGCCGCCGACTCATTCAAAGGGAAATAAGAGGATGAGGTGGACAAGCTTTGGGGCGCCGGAAAGCTGCAGGATCCGGAGGCGCCCCTCACCCTGAACCCTTTGTTCTGGGCTAGGAATCTGTAAAGCTCACAGCTTTCATCCGCCTGCATCATTAGGTTTTTCCTCAAAATATAATTTTCTCTTTTTTTTTTTTTTTTTTTTTACTGAAATTTGCTAAAGTGAAACTGCGTCTGGGGGAAGCTTTCGGTGGGTTTTTATAATTTATTTCCCCTTTTTCTTTTTTCTTTTTTTTTTTTTCTTTTCTTATATAATATTATTATTTGTTTCTCTTATCCACAACTTGCAGTTGAGTACTATTGTTTTCATCGAGTAAAAAACCATGCTATACAATTTCATTCATAAGAAGATCAAATGTCCTCATTGGATTGATTAATATTGAAACTAAGGGCAAATTCTCACTCAAATCCAAGTAATATGCCGTGGAAATATTTCAAAGTTTATATCCACATGGGTCAATTAAGGCCTTTAAAACGTGACCTTGGTCTTCATGTCTCGCCTAAAGCCTTTAAATAAATTAATACAAATTGAAATAATAACAATAACATAATTTATTTACCGGTATGCTACTAAATGAAAATGTAACTTACCTATATACTAACCTATAGTCTACTAAATTCAAATTATGAAACTATCTAAGCATGTGCCACGATCTTCTAATTGTGATGTCGCTGTCAGCCGTACAAGACAACCTTGCCTTTACTTGAAAAATGAGAGTAGCATATGACTTGAATATTTTAAGAAATACTCCGTAAGCGACCCCCTATTGAAGTTACATGCAAACATATACAATTTCATGAACGAGACTTATCATAACAGTCTATTTTCCTACAGTAGCTATCGTAAACGAGCAATTGGATGTGTACTTAATTTTCCTCCACACAGTTCACACGTGTGAGTATGAACCTATCAGTCGGTTCGCACCCCTCCTGGGCCCCTTTCTGGTCAGGCGAGCATTCTTTGGTAGCTGTTGATGCTGGATACCCATTAGGAATAACAATCATCTTGGCAGCATTATAGTAAACATAATGATTTTTTTTCTGCATCGTAATGTACACGTTCGTACTATCGTGAAGGAGAAGGGGTATCCCTAATGCATGAGCACACAATAATGCATGAGGTCCCTACATTTTTTTTCATTTTCATTATCATATACTACAACCCCATCCGCGTCTTCCTTCATATCATATCATTTTATTATATTGTTTATCATATCTTCCATGTGTGTATCGGGGTTGTATTTCATGTCAATTAGTCATTTTGCATGTCAATCATATCATATCATATCATTCATGTTGCACATATGTCATACCATAACGTTTTCATGCTTCCAGATGTAACAATTCACATCATGCACATATCATATCATATGATATATCACAACAATCATATAACGAATCCCGAACATGTCTTCAACATATTATATCTTAACATATCATATCATAAACATATCAATTTATCAAATACAACATAGCATTCACGCATCATAACACATGCATATCATTTCATAATAGTTTGCATATATGGGCATATGACACGTGTCATCATAAAGCACATAATTATAACCAAACGAAGGTAGGGCTACTTACTTGGTTGGCCTTAACAGACGTTTTCCCTAGTTCGAGTACGTTAGCTCTCATTCCTAAAAATTACTCCAATCATTATCGGTTGTTGTTTCCTATTAGAATATTCATCCTATTTCTTTAGTAATCTAAAGATTCTTAACTTAATTGAACTTAAATTGAGAAATTGAACCTTAACCTTAATTGCCTTAAATAAGATCAATTTCAGTTTTGGGATGGTGGGGACGGTGGAAAATGGTGTATTTTGCTTTACCTAGCTGAGAAGTCAATTTTTGAGCCACTGAATCGAGTCGAGCCATTTAAGCCGATTGAGTTAAGGAGGTGTTTTGCTGCAGGTATGACACGTGACGCAATAAGAGACTGATGCGTGTGCAAGTTGCTTCAGGTCGAGGCTTGGGTCAGGTCACGGGTGCTGAGCTGCTACAGGCTTGGGCTTTGCAGGTGGGTCAAGGTGATGGATTGGGCCTCAGGTGTGGGCTGCTGCAGGCCACTTGGGCCGAGTTTGTTAGTTGGGCTGAGGGCTTGAGTGTGGGCTTGGTTTCTGTTGCAGGTGTTCTCGGCTTGGTTTCATTTCTGGCTGTAGAGGTTTGAGCCGAATAAGGGAGTATGCGCTACTTTGGGCCGAGTTTGTTAGTGAGTTCGAAGTGTTCGAATTCAAATTAGAGAATATGCGTTACATATATACGATATATTTAATCGCATTTTTGTTTTATTTACGAATTAAACAAAAATAGAGAATCGAAGATATTTAAATAAAATTTAAATATTTTAATCAAATATGAGTTGAAATTAATTGAAATTGGCATTTAAATTAATATTAAATATTAATTAAATAGTTTAATTAATAATTTAATATTACTTTAATTTGAAATTAATTATTCAACTGAATTGTTGAATTAAATGAAGAAAGTCAGAATGTTGACTTCACATCATGGAAAAATTACCGTTTGAGTTAGTGGAATTTTGAGGTGTCAAAATTTGGTTTAACCAAACTTGCATGCTTGCCAAATAAACCCCATAAATTTGAGTGAAATTTTGAGTGTCAAAATTTGGTTAACTCAAACTTGCATGTTTGCCACATAATTCCAAACATTTGAGTGGAATTTTGAGTGTTAAAGTTTGGTTATCTCAAATTAATTTGCATGAACATGCAAATATGACTCTGTAAATAGAGTGATCAAGGTACCCAACTTCTCCCCCTCTCGAAAAACCTTGAGAAAAACTCTCACAAACTCTCTTTCATATATACTAAACCCCTCCTAAGTTTAGTCACTCACTGGATTCCACAATCCTATTCTAAGGCCGAAGAATAGTGGAGAAGACACTAATGGTGGTTCGAAACTGGTTCGTGAGGAAAAAAGAATTTGAACTACAAAAGATTAGTACTCAAATACCTTGAGATTTAATACTTATGAACATGCTAGTTATTTACTATATTTGATGTTCTAAGAGTGCCTAAGATCCAAATTGCTTCCGCACGTGTTATATTAACACCATCACTTGGTACATCATGGTACCACCTGGATGTTTAGAGAACGGTGAGTTGCTTCAATCAATCTTTCATTACTTAATTCTCCCACCGCTGGAACACATAGTCGTTCATGACATAGTAATCTGTCATCTGATGATTTGGAAAAAGATGTCTACGGGCCTCGCTGTTAATTGACTCAATATCTTATTTAGGCTGGGGTCCTCTTGTTGTGAATCAATGATCCTTTGTTTGAGCGTGGGCTGCACTGTTAGTCGGGCCACTTGTGGTTATGACCCTTTCAGTTACTACACTTATTTCAGCTCGCTCAAAATCGCTTGTACTCGTGACTCTCTTGTGACGAGGGCCGACGAGTGCACCGTTTTACAACTTAGAGCATCTACGACCACGTTTGCCTTTTCAGGGTGGTACTGGATATCTACATCGTAGTCTTTTACTAATTCCAATCACCTTCGTTGTCTCATGTTTAGTTCTTTTTGGGTGAAGTAGTATTTTAGGATTTGGTGGTCGGTGTAGATTTGGGTCTTTTCTCCATACAGGTAGTGTCGTCAAATCTTTAATGTGAATACTACTGCGACCAATTCTAGGTTAATTTTTCTCATATTGCTTCAATTGGCATGACGCGTATGCAACAATCTTACCATGTTGCATCAATACGCACCCTAATCTCTTTTTGGATGCATCGTTGTAGGTTACATATCCCTTTGAGCTTTCTGGAATCGTGAGTACTGGAGCTGATACTAGTATTTGTTTTAGGTCTTGGAAGTTGGCCTCACATACGCCATGCCATACAAAAGGTACGCCCTTCCTTGTCAACAATGTAAGAGGTGAGGCTATTCTAGCGAAGTCTTAAAAAACTTTCGATAGTAGACTGTTAACCCAGGAAGCTTTGTACCACTGTAATCGTAGTTGGGTGTTCCCACTTAGTAATGACTTCTATCTTAACTGAAATTCAATCTTTCGACACTACATGTCCTAAGAATGAGGCTTGTTGTAGCCAAAATTTATATTTGGAGAACTTGACGTACTACTTGTTCTCTCAAGATAGTTAGAGCTCTTCAGAGGTATTCCTGGTGTTCTTGATCCATTTTCGAGTATATTAGAATGTATTTTATGAACACGATGACAAACGTGTCTAGAAATTTCTTGAAGACCTGGTTCATTAACTCTATGAACACAGCTGGGGCATTAGTGAGGCCAAATGACATCACTACAAACTCATAGTGGCCATATCTTATTCAAAAGGCTGTCTTCGATCCATCCCCTTCGTTGATTTTAATCTGCTTGTAGCCTGATCAAAGGTCTATCCTAGAAAATACCGTTGCCACTTGGAGCTGGTCGAATAAGTCTTCGATGTGAGGAAGTGGGTATTTGTTCTTTATTGTTATCTTGTTTAGCTCCCTATAGTCTACATAGGGCATCAAACAATCTTTCTTTTTTACAAACAACACTGACGCACCCCAAGGGGATATACTGGATCGGATGAAACCCTTATTCAGTAGATCTTGTAGTTGTAATTTAAGTTCCTTTAATTCTGCTAGAACCATACGGTATGGTTCTTTAGAGATGGGTCTAGTTCTTGGGTTCGAGTTCCATCCCGAACTCTACAGCTTGTGAAGAAGGAACTCCTGGTAAATCCTCTAGAAAGACATCCGAGAATTCGTTTACTATTGGTATTGTATCCATCATTTTCTCTTTTCCTTTTACGTCTAGTGCACAAGCTATTATAACCCATCCTCCTTGTTGTATTGAGTGTTTATCATTGACACTATCTTTGGGGTGACTCCCATACATGTCAAGCCTATATCATAGGTAGTCTACAAGATCTGTAACTTAGACTCTGATACCAATTGTAACACCTCCTAGATTTTCTACTTAACCTAAAGTCATTACTATATATATCATGAACATTTAATGTGAAAATACTTCATTTAGAACTTTATAATAAAAACGTGAGCTTGGTATTGCATGTCTTGTTTGGTTTTAAGGATAGTAGAGAGGTTGTTCTCTTAAGTACTGACTCCAAGTCTTGAACAAGGGGTCCCACCCTCTCATTGGTTTGAAAGAGATTCGGTTTACAGGTTGGACCAC